ATGTCCTGATTAGGGCATCACAACATTCTAGCCTGAAAAAAGCAACAATATTTATTAATGACCTGCAGCAGAGTACATTAGTAATTGTAACCAGGCATTAAAATTCTCATTTCGTGTCATAAAGAGAGTAATCAGTTTTCTTCATGATGCATTATGTTTTACTGAGCCTCGTGTGGTTTGTCCCTCCAAGACCTTTCTGAGAATGTCCCTTCTCCAGGCACAGCTTCCTAAGATGCCCAGGTAGCTTCCTCGGGAACATCTATGGTCATGTGACACCAGCCACCCCCCCCCCCCCCCCACCCAGGGCTGGTGGAAGCCGCCTCCCTAGCCAAGGGGGACTCCGATCCCCTCCTCTCAGCCCCTAATGCCACACTGTGAACTCGCTCAAGAGTGTCACTAACAAGTTAATGTGGGTTTCTCTTTGGTTATGGAATTATTTTTATTTTTATTTAAGCTTACAAAAATATAGCTAGAAATGTGTTTCTGAATTCCAAAAGGATTTTTGACCAATCTAAACACAAGTATGTCCTTGCCAAATTCACCACCTGGACAGGTTTAAAATCTGCCTACGTCCCTGTGGAATCTAACATCACTGTTCTACTTAGCGGATACATTTGGGTGAAGAGCAGTGACCGATCTTTAGAAGCCCCAAGAGGTGGGGGCAGGGCGGCCCTAGATGCTGTCCATGGCTTTGAACTCGCTAAGGGCCTGCACAGGGTTCACGTGCTTCTTCTGAGATGCCCGTTTAATCTTGGTCTGGGTCTCATCCTGCTTCTCTCTCTTCACCAAGGGCTTTTTCTCAGGTGCCTTCATCTTCCACGACACAGCCGGGAGGTTGAGGGAAGCCATGCCCTGAGACTTCTGATACTTGGTGGAGGCCACGTAGGACGCCTTCACCGTCTGTACCACCGCATTCATCAAGTTCTTGGCGGCCTGGATCAGGGACATGGCGCTGTCCACCTGAGATGCACAGACAGGGCAGTGAGGACCACAGGGGCCTGGGCAGTAGCTCTCCCAATGGTTACTGACCTTATCCAAGAAAGCTGAAAATGCCTGTTTCGGATACTTAGAAGTACCCAAAACACAAGGCACCATCACCTTGCCCATCCGCACCCCTCCACGAATCTTGATTCAGACTCAAAACCCAGAGGAGGATCTGTGAGTGACCACGGAGCTGTAACCACCAGCAGGGACGAGGCAGCGTCCTAGACAGAAACCCACCGCCTTTGGTATGTCGCGCATACCACAGAGTTCTCTGAAAGGAAATCCCCCGAGATGAGCAGAAGTTACAGGGAATCCGTGGAGCCCAGCAGGCCAAGCAAGAAATCCGCTCCCCCCACCCAACGTGACGAGGGGTCCGAACCGTGGCACAGGAAACAAGCCAGGGAAGAGATACCCCTCGAGCACTCCGTGAAGGGTGGAGGAGGTCTGACAAAGCCTGGCTATGTCATCTCTGTAATTTTTGAACAGGTTCAATTCCTCTCTGGGGGAAGAACAACAGGAAAGATAAAACTCCTTTTTCCCAGCCAGAGGCCAGCCCGGTAATGGCTCCCGGCCGTCACCAGGTACTGCGGTTCATCAGGGTGCTGCCGACGTGCAGCCCGTGCGCGCCGAGGACGGAGAAGAAACCTGTGGTTTTTCCACAGCGCACTTTCCTGGTTTCAGGGCAGGTAAGGAATGTATGTGGACACGACGCTACTTTCATTTTGGAAAACCACTTCTTTTCATGGATAAAACTTACCCCCGAGACGACGAGCTCCCCACCTAGATTCTGCACCTCAGCCTTGACTTTGCTGCAGATGTTGAGCTGGTGGCAGTAGAGGGCGATCCGCTGCAGGTAGGCCAGCAGGTCCTGCTTGCAGGCTGAGTCTGGGCACTGACGGGGGAGCAGCAGTTCAGCACCCAGCACCCCAGGCCTGGCCCCAACACAGCCGACCCCCCGGGCTAGCGGGGCGCGCCTCAGTGCCCGCGAAGGGCAGGGGAGGGCAGTTACCAGCTACTGGCGGCACTCCGGCCCTAGGCGGCTCTGCTGGGGCCCATGTCCCTCAACGGGAGAAAAAGCCTCAGCAAGAGCCTGGTTCTGGAGAGAAGGGAGAGTGCTTTGAGCTACATAATAACCATCCAAGTGCTCTTCTGCTCACAGACACTTTACGTGCTCCTAAACGTAGCATAAAAGGAGCTGTTCATGAGTGAGTAAACCGAAGCAAGGAAAAGAGCACCAGGGACCGTGAGGTCTTGACCAGCCTCAGGGAAACTAAGGGCAGCCCCGTTCCTGTCCTGTTGCCAAAGCTGAGGGTGGCTTAGGAAGCTCCCCACCAACAATGAAATAGAGCACCTCTCTCAAGTGTTTACAGCAAACACTTCCCTCCTGTGGGGCTGGAATGTTGTGCTAAGAAGCTAGTGAAGAACTGCAGAGCCACCTCCGATCTATGCATCAAGACCGAGTTGGCGGCCATGGGCCGTGTGGAGTGGAAGGCGGGACAGGTGAGGAGAGGCCACCGCCGTCTAGGCCTGGGCTGGGGAGGCCTGGCCTGAGCTGGTGGCTGCAGAGAGGAAAAGACTGGATGGTGTCAAGCTGCCTGTGGCTGGCAGATACACCAGGGCTTCGTCCTGGACTGCAAAGAGGGGAGTCAAGAACGACTTCTAAATCTTTGGCTTGAGTGGTAAGGAGCCACTGCCACTTGTCCTGCTGCCTGGATCCTTCAGGGCAAGGAGAAGACTGCGAGGTTGGACCTACAGGGAAAAACTAATGGGCAACAGGGGCTCCGATAATGAATCTTAGAGCATCAGGGGAAATGTACTGTAAAGTTGCCAGGAGATAGGAACCACCTTTGTTGAGAGATGCATATGGAAGCAAAGGGGTGAAGGCTGGGTGCCTGAGAACACGCAGCGCAGGGGACAGACGCATCCGTCCCCAGCGGAGCACATCCACTTTCCAAAGCACTGGCGTGGGACTCCTAATTCTTAGGCGAAACACACCCACGAGATGCCCTTCTACCCCTAGTTCCAGTGTGTGAGGACCCGCAGAGGCAGCTCCTGGCTGGATCTGAAGGTCTGTAGCATACGGGGAGAGAACAAGCAGCGGCCCACAGGAGTGGCTGAAGAGCCGCCACCACAGAGGATGGCAGGACACACGCACCTGCTCCAGAGAGGTGCTCTAACGCAAACTGGGCCTGGCTCCTAAGGCTTGTCAAAGAAAAAGAGGAATTCAGAAATCCTTACAAATCTCTAATCAGGCAGGCTGACAAGTTAAGCACAGGTTGGAGATGAGAAGAGTGCTGTGTCCCCAGAAAAATAATAGTCACCACCTTGGAATGGACCGCACTGGGCTCCCCAAAGAAACCCACGTAGCAAGCCTCTCACTCACGTGGTCTGCAATGGTCCGGCCGAGCTTATCCATCCTGGATCCGGCCTCCGCAATTTTCTTGGCAGCACTGATCACGTCCGATGTATTTTTGAGCGGTCCTTTACCTCTGACAAGAGAGAACAAGGATCGTTGTACGTAGCTGGAGATGGACAGAAAAGGAAGAGGCCTGCAAAGCAGTACAGGGTCGCCCTCTGCATACGTGGTGGGGGCGGGGGCAGCTCACCGGGTGAAGTCTGTCATCTCCATCATAATCATGCACATCTGCTTGGCCAGCACGATGATGTCATTACCACTGTCGTCCCACTTGGACACTTCGGCATCCAGCTTGCTCTTTTCTTCCTGGAAGCTGGCCACCTGCTCTGCAATCTTTGCTTTTTGCTCCTGGGGAAGCTGAGCCATGATCGCCTGGAATGAGAAGCACAGAAAGCTCTTACATAAAGAGAAGATGAAGTTCTCACAGTGCATTAGCCCAGAGTATTTCTACCAAGCAATCTATGACACAGGTAGGATAATGCTTTAATAGGTTTCGTTTCGCCTAAAGGTCCATTTCTTCTCACTTTGAGCAGAGGTTTACAGCAGCCTGAATTTCCGACCCACTTTCAAGAACAAGTTGGAGTGTGGAGGAAAATACAGTGTGAGGGATAGAAAGCTAAGCATGGAAGCTTCCAGATCACACCTGTACGGGAACACAAGCTACTTCATTGTTTTGTAAATTCATCCTCCGCCTGCTGCCGTGGGGAGAGGACATAAGAGAAGGGGCTGATGCATGGAACCCTTTCCCTGGTGGGCCTCGTGTGGGCATTTCCTGTGGCTTCTACTTTCAGCTACTTGACATGGCATTAAACTATCAAAGCAGCACCTGGAGGCCTGGTGCCCACCTCAAGGCCCACGGACTCCAAGCCTTGAGCTGCTCCCCACTCGGCTTCCCCAAGTGCTCTTGATGGAGTGGGGCCCAAAGCAATGATGCATTCGCTGTGCAAAATGATTTCTAAGGAGTGGAAAAAGACTCCACAGAAATATTTCTTGGCATGCTCCCAAAAACATAAACGCTATTGATTGAAGATTTAATGACTCAAATGAATGCAATGGCTCTGAATGATTTTCTTGAATGTACCAGTTATTTTTTTTTTAACCCATGAATAATTAAATAGCTCATACCCATGGTATCATTGAGATGGGCAAAGACAGCAATCTTTTTCGAATTTCACAATCCTTTTAACAAACACTGCATTGACTGGATGCTATGGCCTTCCCGATGCAGGGCTCTGTCATCAACCAAAGCCCCAGGGCCCAGCTGAGGCAGAGGGCTTGTTCCTGCCCTGCTCCCAGCTGAGGAGGCATTCTGGAGGAACAGACAACTGGCTAGCATGTGCCACAACTGAGGTTAACCTCAGTCCTGCTGCCAGAGAAAAGAGTGGGAAAATGGTGTTCTCAATATCGAGAGCATTTTCCTAGAAAATAAAAAGCCAAGTTCCCGGAGTCACACGGAAGGGCTGCAAAGTGAAGTCAAACATGTCCCCTACCCGGGCACTTTGGCCAGCTATCAGCTGATCATCTTCTGTCTGGACGCTTGTCCTACTTCTGACATCGAAGTCCTCCGTCTCGAAGTCAGAGTCATCCAGTTCCTCGGGGGTCTACAACCAACACAGAGATCACAAGTCAGATACAAGCCCGGGCCTCTGGGCCCAATGTATGAACACCCAAAATTCTGGATTTTCATGTGCCATGTTCTAAACAGTTCTGGGGAGTGAAGTTAAAATCATTCATTATTCATCTAAGACCCTGCCTCACTGATGCACACGCGGGGTGGCCCATCCAACAAACACTGGGCAAAGGCACCACATCAATACTTCCCAAAGGATCGAGGAGTTTCTCTATGGGGGCTGGGGCTTTAACTTCCACTAGAGTCAAGACTCTCTTTGAAATCATGTACTCCTCTAACACCTGTATCCTAACACAAAGGTGAGGATTATCCTGGGTAGGAAACGCACTGTATTAAAAAGAGAAATATTTTATCCAACATTAAGCAGGTTCTCATAACCTTCCCACTTGATGGCAAAAAGAAAATTAATGAATTACATAATACTGGGCTTTCTCTTAGGATACTGCTTTGAGGAGTACAAACAGGTAGTGGATTTTTATGGATTTCTTTTGTATTTACTTTTATGAATGCAAAAAGAATATGGCAGGTAAAGTCTGAGTATGTACCGAAGACCCTGATTACTAGGTCCTAGCTCTTTGCTTTAATTATGAAATAAAATTCCTATTTTGCACAACCTCCAGCCTCTCATGATTAGCTGCTGACTTGAAACATAATGTTGTCTTCTGGAAGTTATCAGTAACAGGGCAGCAGGCGGAACAGCTGGGGTTGGCTCTTGGCCCAGCTGGCCAGCCTGTGACAGGAGGGCAGTGAGGCGAGTCCCTCATCCGCACCAGGACCTAATCCAAGCCCAGCCCAAGGGCTCTCTGTGAGGCCTCAATGAGAGGACGTGTGAGGAAGCATCTGGCCAGGCCCAGACTATCTTGGGTTTGTACACAGGCAAAGGCCAAGCCTGTCCCTCAATGAGATGAGGTAAGGACAGCGGGGGTCACACCAGCAAGCCATAAGGAACACATGAATGGAAGATCCTGAAGTCTCTCGGACTTGGCAACATGAAACACTACACCACCACTGGCCATTTTAAATCCTAGGGTCACAGACACCTGTGGAGGATTTTTCTCAAAAAAGTGCCTCCTGATAAGAACTCTGCTTCTGTACCACCCTCGCTAGTCCAACAGAGACCCAAGAAAACCCTGTACCTCCTCTTCTTTCATTCTTGCTGAGTATCTGTGTGGCAAGTACTGTTCTGGGCCCTGGAGGTACAAAATGACTAACACACAGCGATATCCCTGCTCTTACCTATATACTAATGGGAAAAATGACAGGAAACAAAATGAAAAAGTGAACTTTTTCACATCAGAAAGTGATTAAAATCAATAAAGCACCGAGGGTTATATGGGAGGACCTAAGGGAGGAGTGTCCTAGCCGGATGGGGTCACCAGAACCAAGGCCCAGAGGGAGGAACTTGCCGGGGCAATTACAGGAGCAAGGAGGCCACGGCAGAGGGACTCAGCTCACTGCCCACATGTCACAGGTCCACTCCTGTCAACAGGAGCCCCCGGAGAGCAGCAGGTGGTGAGGTCCTAGAAGGCCTGTGGGCCAGGGTAAGGACTGGCGCCCCACACAGTCTGCGGACGGTGTGGAGCAGTGGGTGACATGATCTAACTGAAGCTTAAAAGGACCACTTGGGCTGATCTGTGGACAGGGAGACTGCAGGCATCAAGGGACGAGAACTGGGAGGCGGCTGCACGAATCCAGGTGAGTGACGTCAGCGGCCTGGCCTAGAGTGGGACCAGTGTTCAGATGTGCTCTGTACTGTGAGGGTAGGTCTGACAGGATTTGCTGATAGATCAGATGTGGGGCAGGAGACCAAAAGAGCAAGCAAGAGTTATTGTGAGGTTGGGCCTGAGCAAGTGGAAGGTAGGCTGCCAGCAACTAACACGTAAGACCGGGCGGCACAGGGTGGGGGTGAAAGATCAGGAGGTGCCTGTTAGATAATCGAGCGGCAAGAGGGAGCAGGTGTGTGTAGAACTCAGGAGAGTCACCCTCATGTCTTATCCACCAAGGGAATAAGGACAGTCAGAGAAGAGTTCGAGAACTTTGCTACCAGGCGTGCCACTGGTCAGAAGCTGAAGAGATGAGCACAAAGCAGCAAAGCAGACTAAGAAGGAGGGGGACACCAAGAGGTTTTCCTGAAGAGGGGAGAAACACCGTCACGCGACACGCTTGGGGAAAGGCGCCGGAGGACAGTCTTCGGAGCACTGGGACATCCACGGAGAGAGGGGAAAGCAGAGTCCCCGTGCACAGACAAGGCAGGGGCAGGCGGCAGGCCGGATGTCCAGACCACCCCCGCACCAGAGAGAGAGAGCAGCAGGCCACTGAGGAGGCGAGCAGGAAGGTCTGAAACCTCCCTGGGTGCTAAGGTTGGGGGGCAATGCTGGCCGGTTGCAGGACCCCCCGAGAGGCGGCTGCCAGCACTCGGCCAGGCTCAGCCGAAGGCGGATTCCACGAGGACTGGACCGTGTGAGGCAACATAAGGAAGTGAAATGGGCAAAGGAGAGTCTATGGACTAACGAGAGACGCAAAGCTAGAAAAGGAGTGAAGCAAAGACCAGAGAGGCCGAGTGAGGGTGACGAGGGAGGAAGCCTCAGGGCTGTCATAGTCCTGGAGAGCGGGAGCTGCTGAAAGGGACGCGTGACACTGGTAATGACAAGAACTACGTGTGACTACGAAGGGAGGCTGAGGTGGAGGAGAACGGGACAGCAAGCAGCTTAAGAGTTCCTGGGGTTGGAAGGATTCTTGAATTAGAAACAGCAACGGAGCTCAAGGTGAGGGCCTGCCGCCCGGGTGCTTTACAGGCCTCCACCTCGCCCTGGCTCCAGCGCTCCTGGCAGCCCACGCCTCTGCCACCCAAGGCCCCATCCCCGTGCCCCTGCCGGGCCACTGCCATCCTCGTGTCCCAGCACAGCTCTTGCACGGCCCGGCCCTGTGTGGGGCACATTACCTACAGTACAGCTCATTTAAACCACCAGTACCTCTGTTTTTAAGAGAAGATGAGAGAGATGAGGGAACCTGCCTACAGTCCGAGAACTGGAAGAGGGGCCCAGGAGGCCTGCCTGCTCCCAGGACCTGCTTTCCCCCAACAGCACTTGAGGATCTGCACACATTTCCTCGCATGTCTGCAGTATCCACGCACTTAAACCCCTCAAAACGTTAACTTCAGACACCAATGACTCCCCTTTATCACTGAGGTTCCTTTTATTCTATTTCTAGGTATCTGTCAGTATGGAAAAGAAGTCTGGAAAAATAGGGCTGTGTTCCTTACCAGTGGTTGGTGGGACCGATCCCTTCACACTACTGAGATATGGCTGCTGGGTTTAACCTGTCATTCAGCCAGGCCAGGTTTCTTCTTGGGGCACAGGTATGAAGGGATGGAGAAAGCAAAACAAGCCCCTGCCCCCCGCCCTGTCCCGGGCCTGGGAGGCAGCAGCAACAGCCAGCAGCTGGCCGGGAGATCCAGCAACACCTGGCTGTCCTCCTCAGCCCCAGGGAGGAGCAGCGGCGGTCTGGCCCAAGCGTTTCTACACTGCGTACGGAACGGGTCCAGCCTCACGCAACTGCCTTAGAAATGCCTCTGTTTCCAGCTAACTATCTGGCTGGGTTCTGCAGGGTGCCAAGCTGAGAAGACAAAATGTGGGACAGGATCCCTGCCGACCTTGAGAGGTTCAACTAGCAAACCATGAAAGTAAACGAAAGCCCCCTGAGCCTACTGGCCGGGCAGCACAGCCCGGCCGCTATCTGGGCAGCAGGCAGGCCCCGCAGGGCAACCACGACTCTGCAGCGAGAGCGGGGCCTGGCCCGGGCTTGCGGGACCCCCGGGGGTCCCTGGGAAGAGGGACTCACACTCCCTGCTCTCAGCTTCCAGAGCAACGGGCTCATCCTCAGCACAGCATGTGAGAGATGAAACGTCAGGGCAAGACAGCTGTGAGACTGGGCCCCAGCACCCTGCGCCGTTTTACAGAGGGGTTAGTAGTTTCTCAAAACGCCTGTGTTTATGCCAACAAGGAGGGGGTGCTGGCCTTTCCCTCACTTGGTAAGAACTGCTGTGTTCTCAGAGCAAATGGGTCCAATGGGGCCCACGGCAGGCGGCACTTCCGGGGAGCATCAGCAGTGGCTGCCACAGGCACGAATCCTCCCCGCGAACGCACTGAGGCCCCAGGAGCCTCCTGCCTCCCCACCACTCCTTCAAGGACAGCGGACTCTATGTGAAGGATAACTTCAACCTGCGTTAAGGAAATACTCAACCAAAGAGGCTTCGCTCTGTGTAGTTTCCCTCTAACTTACCAGAAGCCTCCTATTTGCGGGGACTGTATGCCTGAAACTAAATCCTCAAAGCCAACTCACACTAGCTCCCCTTCTTGGCCCAAGTTTGGGCTCTAACTTGCGACTAAAAGTCATTTAGACAACATAATTAAATGTATCTCATTTTAACAGCTTTTAGATTCATGGTTTTAATACACCGCCACCGCATCTGCTGAGTTCCAGAATGATGCACTGCTCAAGTTTAGCGAACGATAAGCAAGAAGCTGTTACAAGGTCTGAAATGCAGTTACTCACCCTTATCATCAATACTGCTTTCCTGATGTCCCGGATGCCATCATACACCAGGCGGGAGGCATCGATAAACTCATTCTCATCCATGGGCTGGGCGGGGTCCGAGCTGAGGGCTTCCACGGCCGCCTCCACTTGCTCCGTAAAACGCGGCATGACTGTGGAGAAAGAGGCAGGGCAGACCCTGCTGGCCTGGCAGACATCATTGTTCTACCACCAGCCCTCCCTAAATCCCTCAGGGAGACACGAGGCGGCAAGGTGTATGATGAAGAGCCTCTGCCTCCACCTATGTGAGAAGTAGTTACAGTTGAAATAAATTAAATGCCATATTTTACCAAGACTCACATCATCTTTGTCTCTTTGACCAGATTTTGCAGTATCAGATTTGGATGGGTGAGCCACTGAAGTGAGATAAACTGGAGGCCTTGCTTAAGAACAGGACCCTCCCTGCTTAATTCAGTATTTATTCACTAACAAGAAACTCAACTCAGAGGGTCATCTTAGATAGTATGTTCAGAACTATTCCCATCATTAGCTGTGGGACACGTGAAAGAAAGGTGAAAACACTTAATTTGGCGGATCAACTTCTCAAAGCCTGATGTTCGACCCAGACATGTCATGTGAAGACCTGAGCTGCATCCTGATCTTGCCCTTCCTAACCAGGGCACAGGGCGGCCCAGCCCACCCAGGCCATCTATGCGTGGGGAGCACCATAAAGGGAGGGAGTCCCCGAACCTGTGTTGGAGAGCAGCTTTGTGGCTTCCAGCACCTTCTCTGTGTAGACCCCTGGCTCATAGTTGTCCATCTCTGAGGTGACTACATGAATGACCCGAGCAGCCCGGCCTCGAATCGCACCAGCTGTGCGGTCCAGCCCATCCACATCTTTCTCTTGGAGAGCAATGACGCATTTGTTCACATCTTCCAAAATGTGATTCTCTGAAGAACGAACAAAAAGCTGAATGAGGGAGAAGGCATTCCACCAGAAGGGGACAACTGCAGGCTGGCACCTGTCGCTCACTGAGTACTCATTGCATGCCAAAGTTCCCCGTGTATCATTTCGCTGGAGACCAGACTCACCGCTGGATTAACTGTCCCACAGAAATTCAACCTGTAATCACCTCCAAGAATAATAATCTTCAATTCCAAGTTTATAGAAAGTGGGAGAGATCAACTGAGATCTTTAAGGCACAATTGTTCTGTAAGCCAGGCAGAAAATTCAGATCATAGAAACCTTAATAACTTCTCTTTTCTTGAAATAATCCCACTGACCTTATGTCCAAAATAAAGTCTAAAATAGAAGAAAGGGTTCACTAGAAGTCTCTATCCTTCCAGTCCCTTGCCCCTCCCTCCAGTAGATGCCAATGGTATTTGGACAATTTGCCAAGAAGCCAGGACAGCTCTGGGATAGAAGGTGCTGGAAAGCAGAATGAATCCTCCTCTGGAGGTCACCGAGGGAGCCCACCTGAGGCAAAACATTTAGTGATCCGCTCACAGGTGCCTATAGAACTGCTGTGGTATTTGCAAAAACCCTTGAATTGTGTTGACAGGTGGCTCCTAGTAGTTTTCGAGCTGGATTTGGAGGACCCACCAAAACTATTTTTCCTCAAAGCAAAATGCTTGACACTGGATTCTGGGAACCCCCGAGTAAGGAGTTAGCCTCAGCTTCATCTATAACAACAGCAAAGTGGAACCAAAATGTCCAAGAGCAGAGTAGGGATAAAATATGGGTACTATATAGCCATTAAAATGGATAATGTCAATCTGAAACAGCCGACCCGAATGGTAAAGGGAATGTTCTCACCCAGAAATGCAGAGACCACCAGCAGACAGCCCAAATGACAGGGCTGCTCAGACCCTGTGGGGTGGGTGGGAGAGTGACATAAAGGAAAGACCCTGTGTCATCATTTGGCCAATGCCTTCCTGCTCAGAAAGGAGCTCTTCAAGACATTTAAGGACTTGTAGAAGACATGTTCACTCGCTTAAGCCAAAAGAATACCTGGTACAATAGTGAAAGATTAAAGGTCCTAGTTTTTCTGAAAGAGCTAGAACAACCAGGGTAAACATAATCTGTTTAAGAAACATATCTGGTCATCTTATGCATTGACATGTCATTATTCTGGACTGCCTCCTGATTTAACCCACTTCCAGAAGCCATTCCCCTTCCCCTCGCAGTGTCTGCTAACATACTCAGTCAAGTTCTATGTGACAGTGTCTAGAAGGGAAGTAACAGTAAGCTTGACCTCTTTAGATACTCCCAATAATAGAGTGGTCATGGTGCTATTTCCTTTCATGTCAAAGGGAGCCAGACGCAAGTGGTACTTAGTGTATCTATCAAAGAAGAGAGCACCACAGTGCCTTGCCTTTGGGCTTCAGGTTCCCCTGTAGACCCCAAGAGAAACCACAGCCTTCCTCTTTGTATTTCCCAAGAGACTGCAGGCAAAATGGAGTAAGATGAAAAAAAAAATCACAATGAGGAAGAAGTAATGATGTGAAAGGACTGAAAGTAAATTTGGTAAAAACACATTTCCTATAAAATTAAACACACTCTGACCATGTGATCCAGGAGTCACACTCCTTGGTATTTATTTAAAGGAGCTAAAAACTTACATCCACAGAAAAACCTGCACATGAATGTTTAGGACAGCTCTGTTCATAATTGCCAAACCGCTGAAAGCAAACAAGATGTACTTCAGTGGATGAATGGAAAAAATGAAGTAAATCCAGACCATGGGATATTATTCAGCACTGACAAGAAATGAGCTATGCACGAAAAGACATGGAGAAACCTTCACTGTGTATTATTAAATGAAAAAAGCCAATCTGAAAGGCTACACACTCTATGATTCCAACCAAATGACATTCTGGAAAAGGCAACAAAACTATGGAGACAGTAAAAAGTATCAGGAGTTGGAGGTGAGGAGGGAAGAATAGGAAGAGCATAGAGGACTTTTTAGGGCAATGAATATTGTACATGGCACTATGATGATGGATACATTTGTCCAAACCCATGGAAGATACACCAACCAAGAGTGAACAGTGATGTACATGATGGACTCTGGGTGATAATGTCGTACAGGTTCATCAACTGTAACAAATGTGCCACCGTGATGGGGGAAGCTGTGCATGTGTGGGGTGACGGAGAGAGAGAGTCTCTGTACCCTCCTCTTCATTTTGCTGTGAATTTTTCTTTCTTTTCTTTAAATAAATTATTTCCAGTGAAAGCCAAAATACAGTGTGAATTCCTATTACAGAAGGGAAAAATGAATTACCACAGTACAGCTAAGAAGACCCTAATTCAAACATTAGAGGGGACTTGCTAGGGTTTCCATCACTGTACTATTAACAGAGAAAATGTATTAAACTTTTTACATAAATTTTAGGGAGGATATGTGAACCAATTGTTAAGAATAAACGGGTGGGGGCGGCGCGTGGGTGGCTCGGTCGTTAAGCATCTGCCTTCGGCTCGGGTCATGATCTCAGGGTCCTGGGATCGAGCCCCACATCAGGCTCCCTGCTCAGCGCGAAGCCTGCTTCTCCCTCTCCCGCTCTCCCTGCTTGTGTTCCCTCTCTCCTGTCCCTGTCAATTAAATAAATAAAATCTTAAAAAAAAAAAAAAAAGAATAAATGGGTGGGGAGCCCATCAGAAGCATCTTTTATATATAAACTCTCTATATAATTAATGTAAACTGAACAGACTGGTATTGAGCCTGCACGCCATACTGTGGGTTAAGAACTGCTGCTTTTGCTAAACCTATTTTACATTTGTATTTCGTATCACCAAGGAAAGGAAAATAAAAGGAAGAAAAGGAAGGAAAAAGTATTGCCAACTAAACCACGGACCAATGTTTCCTTTTATCGTTGATTTTAAAATTCATCCTCGTTTCAGGATTGTTAATACAGGGGAGGAAACACATCTTCGAATCAATGAAGCATGGCATTCTTTTTCGTTCATTAGACAAAGTAGCCCAAACTTCCACCAAGGATTTGTTAGCCTTCATCTAGACACCTGTTTTGAAAAATCAATTTTGACTTTCTTGAATTCACACTGGCTTTCTTCCAGTGAACCTAAACCAGGGAAGGGCTTGCCATGCTTTAGCAACAAAGGAAGCCTTCTATTTCGGGAAGCTGACTAAAGTAATAGTCTCTACTGGCCCTAACAGCTGTCTCTAGGAAAGCCCCATCCAGCCGAGGCCACCACATACCCAGGACACAAGCACCAACTCTGCTCGCTGTACTTCAGCCCTAAGGCAGAAATGAGTCTCCACTGGACATGTACAAACAAGGGAGGGTTGGAGGTGCCTATGCTAACCTAAACCATAAATTATGTTAGTTTTAACTGAATTACCAAGGAAACTCAGCATGGGTCCATTAGGAGTAGACACACCAATCTGTACCCCATTAAGCACTCTGTTCAACATCAGAGGTGCCTCTAAGAGGAAAAAAGTCACATACACAACAGTCTAACAAGGGGTCGTATTATGGACACTATTATATGTTTTTCATTTGAAAACCTTTCTAGGCCTGCCTCCACCCCTCTACCTCATTCTTTTTGATGACTGCAAAGTACCCTACTGAATAGACGTAGGGGCCATAATTTACGTATCTAGTCTTCTCTTAGACATTTTAGTTGACATGAACATCCTTGTACAGCTATTTTGGCAAACATGTGGGTACATATCCCTGGGGGAAATTTCTAGCAATAGGATTACTAAGTCAAAAGGCGTATTATGTTTAACGTAGATGTGTGGTGCCTAATTGCCCTCTAGGCACCAAGCCAACTGGCATTCTCCAAAAAGCCTGCATGAACTCATACTTCAATCCATGATGAGTAACAGGGCTCATTCTGTGTACCCTTTGCTCTGGCTATCCTTACTGGTGTAAACTTATGCAGACAAAGGAGATTATAATATTAATACTTCATATACAGGGGCACCTGGGTAGCTCATTTGGTGAAGCCTCCGACCCTTGTTTTGGCTCACGTCATGACTTTAGGGCAATGGGATCCAGCCCCATGTCGGGCTTCACTCTGTGGAGTCTGGGATTCTCTCCCTCTGGCCCTCCCCACACTCATGCATGCATGCACGTGCTCTCTAAAATAAATAAATAAAATCTTTTAAAAAATAAAATTAAAAAACACCATTAATTAATGAGGAAACCAGGGCACATAAGTATTAACTGAACTGCCCAAGGTCACACAGCTAGTGGGCATGGGAGTCAGAAATCACACCCAACTTCAACATGACCTTATCTGTAGTTTCACAGGTTTTTTGCATAATCCTATTATTTAATGGCCTTCCATTAAAAAAAAAAAAGTAATAACTGCCTTCAATCAGACCAAATTCTTTGGGCACACTGACACTTAGTGAAGAAGTACAAATTACCACTCTTAGGTGTTGCCCTAAAGTATCTAATGCACTATACTATTTGTTTCCAAGAGCGTAAGGTAAAGAAATGTAATAAACCCAATTAGAACCACTCTAACCAAACACTTGGAAAAAAAAAAAAGGAACTAAAACTTCCACATGTAAGCAGAATAAATGCATAAGACAGTAAATTGCATTTCCATGGAAAACGTGTATCAAATACAATTCAAATGAAATTCAAACAGTCTTTATCACTTTGATAAATTTCAAACTCCTGCCCTTAAGGGATCAGTCAATATACATACTTGGGGTTTGCTGAATGCGCTCTACCATCTTAACCATCTCCAATATTTACAAGGCACATTCTGAATATAACTTGGTGAAAAGGAGCCCCCCCACTCCCCCTTCCCTGGCAGGGGGGCGGGGGCATGCATGACATCTATTTTCAAGTGCCACTGTCTCATATTTGATATACAGGGACCCAGGTTTCCACTGCCCTGCAGCCTCATGAAATGCTTGGTAGCTTTAACAGATTATACACAAAATGACCATTACTTCTTGAGCCACAAATTTAGGTATGACTTGTGGCAAGTATGGGGGAACTTTGGGAACCCAAGGTACTGAATATGCAGAAACAACAGAGAGAAAGCAGTTCTATTCCCTAAGTAACTTACCCGTGGAGGGGTTCTTGGCTAGTGGACAGGCTACAGCGAACACCTCAGGCGCCATCAAGTCCAAGGTTTTGACGGTGGAAAATCACTAGT